TGATACTTCTATGATGAAATAAAATTCTTTTATCATAAAAAGTCTTAAGTGTAAGAAAAAAACTTCACGTCTATTATTCTTCTTACTCCGGCCCAGCTGCATTTTCATTCAAATTATTATCCTAACTTTATATATTAATAGTTAATGAAACTTCATAAAGTTTTGACAAATGAATGTTTATTGTGAATACTTCCTATACAGGGGCGGATACAGGATTTAAGTGAGGGGGGTGATAGATTTATTCTCGAACTAAAAAATCCAGATTTAGGAACCAATAGACGCGCCGTAGGTAACAATTTTGTTGACTCAAAAAGAGTAAAAAATAATGACTAAAGACTAAAAAACTAGATTTTTAACTTATGACACATTACAGTTTAATAAGATAGGAACAATAATAGGAACATTAGCAAGTTAATAACATAAAGAAATTACTAGTTATACTTAAATGCATGAAAATTAGGAACAATATTACAATTGTGATTAATGAGTATTGATTTTAAAATTAAATTCAAGATGTGCCGTGTACGTGTGCCGCGTATTAACACCAATAAAACCAAAACACACTTTCGTCGTACTTACATACTTACATCGTTGGTTATATTTATTTTTAACAAGCTAGACAAATATTTTTTTCGTCGTTCTGATGATTCAATTATTCAATAAATATTATATTTCTATTTAATAATCAAATAGCTGGAAAAAGCGGTACACATACGATTTTTCAAATTGGGAACATTTGTCAAGGGGGTTAGGAAGGTCCTGCCCCACCCCTCCTGTATCCGCCATGTTCCTATAAAGTGACGAAACGCTTTGGCTTTGGTTAAACCTTTCTTACTCACTTATTCATTTTTAAAGCCTTAAACATAAACTTGTCTTTAGCTTAAGTTTAAAAGAGGTAATTAGAAAATGCTAATTTATTTTCGTAAAAGTTTACAGAACATTTAGATCTGTCAGTTTCTGTGTCAAGTCAATCATTTTTTAAAGATCTTTGCAATGTAGTGAAACCTTTTTAATTAAACATAGAAAATATTGTTTATTAAGTATCTTTTAAAACTTATATTTAAAGAACCTGAGTCTAAAACTAAAGAACGAAAAGTTAAAATTTAAACACAGGGTTAAAACCTTGAAATCCCGCAATCCCTATTTGTCTATCATCATTCAGCGGTATGCGGCATTCAACTAATTACGATATATTTAAAAGTAAAAACCTTGATTTAATAAAATTTCACGTTTTAGATTAATTAATGTTTGCACGTAAACCCAAAATACGGTTGTAACTGGAAATATGTTTTGTTTTCCGTCACGTAAATAACTTAAAATTTAAAACACAGCTGATTACCGAATACCGATACTTACGTGATAATTCTTTAGATCCTTTTCTCTGATTGGTTCAGATTTTTCCCGGGAAATTCAAATTTAAAATTGAGAAAGTTTAATATTTAAGTAGCTATTCATTATTTTACAGAACTTTAAACCTCGAACTTAAAATTCGCGCATTCTTTAGTTTTAGACTCTGGTCAAAGTGTTTTTGAGCCAATTTTTCAGAAAATGTTTCCTTTGTTCCTGTACTTTACACAATATTTTTGTTCCTGTACTTTACACAATATTTTTGTTCCTGTACTTTACACATATTTTTGTTCCTGTACTTTACACAATATTTTTGTTCCTGTACTTTACACAATATTTTTGTTCCATTTACTTTACACAATATTTTTGTTTTTGTTCAAAAGTAAAGTTAAAAATTATTTATTTATGAAAAATAACAAAACATTCAAAATTAAGTGTTTCAGGAGAAAATATTTAAAAACCTCTAAAAGTAGAGGTTGTGGGAATGTTTCCCCCTAATTCCAAAAAAATATAAAATATAAATGATAGGAAAAGGAAAGGATAAGGAAAGTTAAATATTTATTGTTTACACTATATTTGATATAAATTGGTGGTGGATTGTTAGTATTTTTCGACGATGAACTAACAACTTTTAGAAATTTGTAATGTTAAAAAAAAATGTAAAAAAAAGCTTTATGGAGTGTGAAAGAGATATAGGTTCTATGAAAAACGGGCATTTTTAAGCATCGTTTCAATTCGCGCTGATTTTTGACATCCTTTATGTTTGATTATATCTTTTACTCTTTATAATCTTTTATTTGTTTTCTTTGCAAAATCGTCTTTGCTTTCTTCGATTCTTTTGAAAACATAGCATGTGTTAGAATTAAAACATTTGTTCTGCTGATAAAAAGGGGGAATGCGATTTTAAGTTTATTAACCTTGTTCTAGATCATAGATAAATAAATAAACATAGATAGCTTATGTACGCAAAATCACCAAGAATTGTACAGTCCGCGAACTCATACTTCTAGGGGTCAAAGTGTACTTCAATGATAAGCGGGATGGTTTGATGTTTTAATTTAACTATTTGAAAACCAATATTTCACTGAGCAATACATCATGTTTACGAGAACTGAAGAAGGACATGAGAAGGACTAAACTAACTTAAATTTCTCTCTACAGAACTCATGTACACCACAAGTACTCAATGACATAAGAACAGCCAATGTTCACAACCGACCTAGTTAATCTATATAATAGGAATATCTTTAAAACATCTCTGTAAATTTATATCTTTCAAGATGAAAAATGTCGTCTTATGCGCAATCTATCTTTATCTATGTTCTAGATGCCTAAACGTCGGTACGTTACTACAATTGAACAAATACGGACAATTGTATCTTGAGTTTTCCATATATTCTTCTTCGGTCTCTTCGGATTTCTTCTTACAACGTAAGTAGTGTTTAATCACATTTTTCGGAGCCTTTTGTTAATGCATCTTTTTTTATTAATTGCCATTGTCTCAAATGACTGCTAAAACGTCATAAGTATCTGTGCAAATTGCAAATATGTTCTCAGCTAAATATTTATTTTTAAGAAATTATTTTTGCAAAGTACAAAATAGGACTCACCATAAAGTCTTCGTCTGTTATTCCAGTTGTGAGTGCGGTCGTCTTCATATAAACGTGAAGACCCATATATCTTCTAAATACGTCAGGATCTAGCCAAACCAAACATTAATCCCCTATAGCCACGCTAAAGCAAAATTAGAAATACTTAAAAATTTTTTTTTGGAATTTGAAAACAGTTTTAAATATTTGTAGTTTAAATAATATTTCCTGTATTCGAGATCAGAAACACAAATTTTTTTATTTATATACAACATGTTTCTCTTCCATTTCTGAATGTTTGCATATGAGAAAGAGTGCGGAAGAAGTTTGAATTATGTCCAGAATCCACTACAGAATATATATTTCAGGGTTTAATCGTGTAAATAAATCCTGAAGTCTACTAAGGTTTCTCCATAAATTGAATGAAACCGGTTTCTCAATAAATTGAGTGAAACCGGTTTCTCCATAGATTGAGTGAAACTTTCAATAGATTGAATAAAACCTGTTTCTCCATGAATTGAGTGAAACCGGTTTCTCCATAGATTGAGTGAAACTTTCAATAGATTGAATAAAACCTGTTTCTCCATGAATTAAGTGAAACATGTTTCTCCATAGATTGAATGAAACCGGTTTCTCCATAAATTGAGTGAAAACGGTTTCTCCATAGATTGAATTAAACCGGTTTCTCCATAAATTGAGTGAAAACGGTTTCTCCATAGATTGAATGAAACCGTTTTCCCCATATATTGAGTGAAACCGGTTTCTCCAGAGAATGAATGAAACAGGTTTCTCCAAAAAATGAGTGAAACTGGTTTCTCCATAGATTGAGTGAAACGGGTTTCTTCATAAATTGAGTGAAACTGGTTTCTCCATGGATTGAATGAAACCGGTTTCTCCATAAATTGAGTGAAACCGGTTTCTCCATAGATTGAATGAAACCGGTTTCTCCATAGATTGAATGAAACCGGTTTCTCAATAAATTGAATGGAACCGGTTTCTCCATAAATTGAGTGAAACCGGTTTCTCCATAGATTGAATGAAACCGGTTTCTCAATAAATTGAATGGAACCGGTTTCTCCATAAATTAAGTGAAACCAGTTTCTCCATAGATTGAATGAAACCGGTTTCTCAATAAATTGAATGGAACCGGTTTCTCCATAAATTGAGTGAAACTGGTTTCTCCATAGATTGGATGAAACCGGTTTCTCCATAAATTGAGTGAAACTGGTTTCTCCATAGATTGGATGAAGGTTTCCCCATAAATTGAGTGAAACTGGTATATTGGTTTATGCGTTTCCATCCTATTTTATTCAAGAAATCTTTTAATCTAATTCCCAGGTGAACTCTGGGTTAAGCTTAGAGGACTAGGATTTTACATTCAAAATAATTCGGAAAGGAACTGATTATTACTCTTCTCATACTGAATTTTTTTAATCCTAATTTTGTAAAGCTTTTATTTTGATAATTATCTATGAATTCTGCAAGATCAAATGTTCAATGTTTGAAATATTAAAAATCTAATGAATAGAAGAAAAAGTAGCTCGCCAGGATAACTACGGAGGTAGGCGATTTTACCAATATAATGAAGACGATTTTTGGTTTCAATTTGAATTTATATTCAGAATTTAAACAGCATGGATACACAAACAAATGGAAAGAAAGAGAAGCTGTTAATAAAAAAAGCTTCTCTTTATTTTCTTGTGAACATGTGATTCGAACAATAAAAACTTAAATAAGAAAGCGTCTTTATTATATTGATACTATCGCCTACCACGGTAGTTCTCTTCTCATGAGCTCCGGGGTAAATTGAAGAAAAGTGGTTCAACTCAGTCTAAGCAGCTTAACTTTTTCTTGCATTTCATAAAATCTTCTCCCAGGTTAGAAAGTTAGAGTTTGAGCAAAATATTCAGTTCTTATCATATTTTATAGCTGGCCAAACGACTGGACCAAAATCAAATTGGCTTGTTTTTTTTAGGGAACCCTTAAGTACCTCAGAGGTAACAAAAGCTTTTTTCAAAATTCGTTTTTTTAATTCCACGAGTAACGCCGGGCACTTCCGGTTGATTAATGATTTCCTATTGTTTCCGGACAGGCATCTTGAAGACTCAGCAACTGCTCATCTAGAATATTTTTCTTTAAAATTTTTTAATATTTCCTAAATTCTGATTTCAAATTATTTAAGACACAGAAAAATTGCTTTTTCTTAAAGGTAGATCTTGCTTAAAATTGATATTTTTTAATTCCAAAATCTTTGAAATCTGATGATGTAAATCTTTGATATTTTATACTTTGATCTAGTAAATTTTAGTTTGACAAATCAAAGGTCTACATCAGGTTTCAAAGATTAAAATATTTGTAAAATTGCATTAAAAAATTAGTAAATATGGTTGGAAAACCCGGTTCGTGAAAATCTGGTGATAATAGGATCAAATACAACCAGTTTCTAAACATCAGAAGAGAGGAAGAAATTATAGGATATTTACTATTATCATTTATATGAATATATAAAAATATTTTTATCAAGAACAAAAATATTGAAAAGAATCTGTTTTGAGAGACTTATTGCAAGAAAATAAAGACTTAAAAGTTCTCGCCACAATCTGCAATTTTCTAATCCCTATATCGTTGCAACCTATTGAGGTAAACCTTTTATATTTCAAGGTTTGATAAGGTCAAATATTAAAATCAAGAAATATGTAACACATTGGAACATTTTGAAAAAATACAATTTTCTTTATTTGGTAAAATCTTTTAATGACTTAATTGTTTAAATGCTTTTCAATTCTCTTGAATTCGTGTTAGTGCCTGGTTCTAAAACTGAATAACACGGTGTAAACATGTCAATTTTTAATTACATCAGTATCGTGCATTTTAAACTGAAGTTAAACGTAAGATTAATAAAGAACTGTTTTGAATATCTGATATGTATCTGGATAAAGTTATTTTCTCACACTAGGGCGTACGAGGAGCTACGAGGTCAACGAGTTGTGTTCCATGATGCATAAAGGAATTGAGTTTTGCCACAAACTCTGATTTTCAAATCTTTTATCTTTGCAACTCAATGACTTAGATCTTAGATTTTTCAAACTATGAATTCTGTTGGATGAAATAGTTTGAAATATCAAAGGTTTACACCATCAGGTTGCTTAGATATAGAGACAAGAAAACTTTAGTTTGTGGCAAAGATTCAATTCCTTTGACCTTCTTCATCTGTTTAGTTCACCGTGAATGAAATCAAATCAAATCTTAAATTCCAAATTTTTCACCAAAGAAAATGTCGGTTATCACTGAACTCTAGACTATTTCTAGAACTCTAGAAAATATTTTATCAAAGGTTTAGATAGAATTGATTTTCAGGTGTCGCAAAGCCTTGTGCTTTGGTTTTACCTCCCCAACTTTCTCATACTTTTTTGTAGCCTTAGATATATACATTTTAAATATGTAAAACGCTTGTTTCTCGTTTAAATTGGCAAAATACTGCTCAATTTTTGCGTGAGATCATTCACATTGCATATCCTGCAGTCACTCCTTTATGCCGAGTTCAGTAGCGCCTGATCCAATCAGGGTTTAGTCATGTGTTTGTTGTCTATTCTGAACCAATAGAAATAGTATGGCGGTAACATCTATCTTTCTATCTATCTCATTATACAATAAGAGTTATGTATCCTTCAATCGGCGCTATCAGTAAATGAAAATATTTACTTCTACTGAAACTATAGTGTGGTTTGCAGTGTTTTACAATTTACCTATACTTTTTGGTTCCTCCAGATTGACCACAACACTATTCTGTAGAACAAACCTAGTCAATTAATTGAAGTAGAAAAACAGATTGATCAAACTCTAACATTCTAATCCCCACATCTTTGTAACCAGAAGCCTTGTGACCTTAGATATTTCATTTATCAGTTTCAAAATTTAAAAAGTTAATTTTATCAGAATACAAAGATATTGGGATTTTGAGTATGAGGCGAGTAATCAGTTTCTTTTTTACTACTTGGCGAGGGTTGTAAACAGAAATAATTGGCTTTAAAGGGACTGTAAAGGAAAAATGAAAGGGGGTATAGGCTGAAAGCTAATCACTTTAGCTCTTGATTGCGACACATGAAAGTTTTATCTTATGTTCCTGTCTTGAGAAATTGATATAAAACTGTGTTAAAATTATACGAAAATTCATACATGTAAAATTTTGAAAATCTGAAACTTAAATCACGTGACCAGAACTATCACCAATGGCAGAGCAGTATACTGGTCACGTGTCTCCGCTGTATCACGTGACCACTTTACTTCACTGCCAATGGTGGAATTTCTGGTCAAGTAATACGGACTTATAAATAATATTATGAATTAAATCTATTAAAAATAGAAATAACAAATATAAAATTAGAATTGGAGTTAACGTAAGTTACAATTAGCTTTCTTTGGGATATCATTGTTTTCAGATTGGTTGCTTACTTGCTGAATTTGATCTATCTAAACCCACTACTTTTATACAAAATTGTATATATATTGATTTTTCGTATAAATTTGACGAAGTTGTATATCAATTTCTTGAGATAGGAACATCAGATATAACTTTCATGGGTCCAGATCGAGAGCTAAAGTGATTAGCTGTCAGCCTATACCCCCTTTCATTTTTCCTTTACAGTCCCTTTAATCCTGTATTTATAGATTATACAGTACTATCCAAAAAATTATGGAATGAATATGCATATTTTTCGAGAAAAAAATCATTTACAAAGAAATTTAGTTTTTACCACAAACTCTGACTTTCTTATGCTTATATCTTTTCAACCGATTTTCTTAAACCTTAGATATTTCAAACTATGAATTTTGTCAGATCAAATGAGTTTTAAATATCAAAGGTTTATACAATCAGGTTGCAAAGATTTCATGATAAAAGAAAGAAAACAGACATTTCTTCGACTACTTTCTGGTAACCATCGTATTGAATACTCTTCATAGAAATATAAGATATAGTAAGTACTATACAAGTTAGACATATGTGTTATGCACTGCACACTGCACAAAGCACATCAGGTTTTATGAGTTTTTATCACAAACCCAGATTTTCTAATCCCTTTATCTTTGCAACCTGATAATGTAAACCTTTGATATAATAAGTTTAAACTATTTGATTAAACATAATTCATAGTTAAAATATCAAAGGTCTATAACATCGGATTGCTAAGATATATGGATAAAAACTAGAGTTTGTGCCAAAAACTCATTTCTTTAAAAAGGAATTGAGTTTTTATCACAAACTTTGATTTTCTTATCCCTGTATCTTTGCATTTCAATGTCGGAGACCTTAGATATTTCAAACTATGAATTATTTTAGATCAAATAATGATAGTTTGAAATATCAAAGGTTAACACCATCAAAGATTTGAAAATCAGAATTTGTGGCTAAAACTCACTTCCTTCTGAAGGAAATGAGTTTTTGCCACAAACTCTTGTTTTTATCCATATATCTTAGCAATCCGATGTTATTAAAATGATTTAGGATTGGAAAAAAATTAATTCATTTTATGAGTAAAATGTTTTTAGAATTGTAGGAATTAGAATTCTAAAATTCTGCTTACCTCGGGATTGTATTTGCTGCTTGAGATTTGACAATGAAAAATATTCTGAAATTGAAAATTATATTTTATATTTGATCAAAATACATCTAGCTTTCAGAGGAGCAACAACTGGCTCTGGTATAATTCAACAGATTGAAACCCAGAATTCTGAATATATGTAAATGTTGAAATTAAATATTACGCTGTAACCCTTCATACAACAGAAACTTTAAACTGTTGATTTTACAAAAATAAAAAGCTTCCATATTTAATAAATATCTTTCAAGAGTTAGATCTTCAAGCTTTACACTTTTGTGTTGAATTTAATCCAATAGTGTTGAAAGGCAGTGGCGGCCATAAGGTAGAATCCTGGGGGTAAATACCCCCCCTAGAATCCTGGGTTAAATACCCCTCCCTAGAATTACCCCTGAACATAAAATTAAAAATATTTACCCCCCCCTACAGAATCCTTATGTCCGCCCCTGTTGAAAGGAATTGAGTTTTTGTTACAAGCTCTGATTTTCTTATCCCTATATCTTTGCATTTCAATGTCAGAGAACTTAAATATTTCAAACTAGGAATTATATTGGATCAAATAATAAAAGTTGAAATATCAAAGGTTAACACCATCGGGTTGCAAAGATATAGCGATATGAAAATCAGAATTTGTGGCTAAAACTCTGCTCCTTTGTTATCGAGATCAAGCGATTAAGATTAACAATACTCCACGCAAATATTCCTACCTCAGATCACATTGTTTTAGATTGCAGATTAAACAACTGGACAGTAAAGACAAAAAAGTCCTTTAAATATTTGATTTTTGAAAGGAACTAGTTTTCTAATCTATTTATTTTCGCAGCCTGATATTATAGACTTTTGATATTTAAATATGAATTTTGCAGGGTTAAAAATATTGCAGGTTAACACCATCAGGTTCCAACTTTCAAAGGATTAGAAAATTAGATTTTGAGGCCTTTTCAACAATGAAATATATGTATTGGAATTATTTTTTGTTTAAAAGCTTCTCTTTAGAAAAAAGATATGATCAGATGCTGAATTTAAAGAATTTATACCGCGTCTAGACGCGCTTCAAACATGGTTTGTTCAACTTGAAATTTTTATCAGTATTTCGAGATTTTAGCCAGCGCGAAATTTGAACCTGTGATTTGAGCCTTTCAAATTCATTAAATCCGGCCTCAGAAATATCATGCGAAAGAACATGAGAATATGATTTTCAACCCTTAAATAATAAAAGATAATATTTAACCTAAAGTTTTGGTTTAGTTTAGCCCCCAGACAAATCTGATAAAGCTTAAAGCTGACGAAATTCCAGAGTTCTCCCCCAACATTAGAGATCAGAACCCAGGACCCGTCCTCCATAGCATCCTCCATTACTCTGGTAAATTTTAACAGAGCAGGTTTTATTCATTTTTTTGTATTCGCGAATATGTCGTGAAGGGAATGTGAGCGTAATTTCATCTTCCATGCAAATATGGCAATGTACACAACCTTAATCTGATCAAAATTGTGGAAGATATTGTGGTTTTTCTTACTCGAAAAGTGTCGATTTCTGTGAGCTTCTCCTTTGCTTTTTAAAAGCAATAAAATTTAAAGAAATAATAACATTGATTTGGAATGCATACTTGATCAGACAAAGCTTTTAAGGAAAGCGTTGTAAATCGGGCGTTGACATCTTTGCATGGAGGGTCACTAAACATTACGCTTCCAGTCCTTTGAATTGAATACTTGCAATTAAAATGAACATGATTGAGAATATGAAACCAAAATATAAAAAAATTTACCTTGCAAAGTCTTGTTCGTTCAATTCCCAGTCAATGTAAAAAACTTTGTTGCTGCAGATCCCCTGATAGCTGGCCAGCTCCTTTAAGGTGTTCTCCATGCTTCCCTCCCCATCATATACCAGGAGGATGGGGTTCTCCCCCTTGGAGTCCATTGCAATTGAGTGTAAAAGTAATCTATCCCGACCTGGAAAAAAAGTAATTTGGTTTGATTACAAGAGTTCTATAAAATATGGCAAGAGTTTTATAATACCTGATATTTCAACATCCAAAATTTGAGCAACTGTCTTCTCAATGCACTCCTGAAGTTTGTTTGGAACATACACACTTACAGTACATATCAGCTTCAGTAAACTTAGTTCTTGTATTTGATTCAGTTCCACGAGTAAATTTTTGCTTTGGCTGGTTTCCATTACTGCATGGATAACCTTGCTCTCCGCTTGTGAGAGAAATTGTTGCAACACAGTGAAACTTTCTTCAAGATTGAAACTGTTCTTTGATAGCTTTGCGAAATAATCATTGAAGATAGACAGCTCTTTGCTTGTCACATGATTTTTAAATAATGCTACAGATGTTCCCAATTTCAGAAGGGCAACGGAAAAATGTTTTGTTGTCATCATTTCTTCCAGTTTTTTAAGGATGTTTAGTAAAATAGAATGCTCATCTGGAGACAGCTCAAGAAGGCCATAACTTGCAGTCAACTCACTTTCAGTACCATCATCATCATCATCTTCCTCCTTCACATCAACAAGGTTGCAGAAGTATTGTAACGGTATGCAGTAAATCTGATTGATATATTTTAGACTCAGAAGATCCATGAACAGTTTTGCACAATATCTTGCCAAAGGTTTGAAAACCATGAGATTTTCCAGAGCTATTTTGTAATTAGTTTCATATGAGAGCAATTTTTCTGTAAATGATGAAATTGTGTCCTCAAGTTTGTTCACATTTTCTATTGTTTTTTTGTCTTTTAAAAGTTTGTCCAGAGGCATTGAGAGAGTTCTCAGAAGCTTTTGCTTTGCTTGGTCTACAGTTTCTTCTGCACTAGTTTGGAGAGAAAACATCTCGTTTTTCTGATTCAGAATGGAGCTTGATTTTTTCGATGAAATCATTGAGAAAAACAAACTCTCATAATCCTCTTCACAATTTGAAAAATTCAAAACCACAATGTTTGACCCTGTTGTTACAAATTTAAAGTCTGAAATCAAGATTCTCAGCTTAAATTTTTCATTAAAATGACACAAACTTCCAAAAATTTTTATATAGTCTGTATCATTTTCCTTCTTAAAAACTCTTCTTTTGATCGGGAGAACAAATTTTTCATATCGATCCTCAGCATTTCTTACAATTAAAGTTTCTCCTCGTGCTAAAGTGTGAACAACATTTTTTCTCAAATGCTTGTCATCAACATGGGCAACAATTGTACTGGAGTCCCCCTCTGATGCTGATAAAATGGGTAGCGCAATATCGTCTGGGTCAACACAAATGATTATGTTGTTTCGAGTCATACTTTTCAGAATAAAATAATTTTCCAGCAAAATCCTTGAAGAGGCAAGATTTTTGTTAAGAAATTGATTTTGAGCATCTTTCCCATGGAGGAAGGTCACATAGTCAAGTGATTCACTGAACCTTATATTGCTGGAATTTAGAATTGACTTCCAATCCATGAAAATTTCTCTCCTTTGGAAAGTATTTAGAGGAGGATAAAAAGAAACTGCTGCTGTAGAAAGTATTGAGTCCCCAATAATCTTTAAGATATCTTCATCAAATCTTGAATGTTGAACTTGAAAAGATTTCAAATCCAATTCTAGGAATGTTTTCACTCTTTCTGATTTTTCTATTTTAGACTCAATGCCCTCAATAGTCTTTATACCCTCTTCAATAATATTCATTTGTGCAGAGCTGTTTTCTTCTATGACATCCATGTCAAAGTCTAAAGATAAAGCTTGCTGCTTCACCTCAGTAATGCTATCCTGACGTATGTCAAACTTCTTCTTTAGCTGTTCACACTTCTGCCTTTTCTGATTGCTGGATTTTCTGCCCTTACCAAATGCTTCTACAGAGATACACCACAGCTTGATACTTTCTAATATAAAATCATCATCAACGGTATGGATGATTTCCTGTTTTGGTTTGTTCTTTGCCACAAACTCCAAAAATGGAATCAACATAGCATCTGTCAATGACTCATTTGTAACATTAACCATAAATGAGATCAACTTTATGAATCCATTTTCAGTCAGTTCTTGATCTTCAGAAAAAAGAATTGAAATAGCTCGTACAAAAACTAGTTTGCTGTCAGGATAATCTTTTTCAAACAGATCTATTATGTCAGCAGATGTTAACTCTTGTAATTGAATTTTGCTGCGTTCTACTGGAGACCAAAGTTCCTCCAGTTCACCTTTTAAAGAGGTTTCTAATAGTGATATATTTGTCTTTTCTTCATGCAAACGTTTTTGCTCATCAGACAACTTCTTTTGTACATCATCATAGTCCCTTTTTAACTGCATTTTTTGTACCTGCAGTTCATCATATATTTTCTGAGCATCATTGAGGACTTCCTTGGCAGTACTAACCTTTGCATAAAGATCTTCAGCATACTTCTCTAGCAGTACAACATTTTCAAATACTTGAATATGTTTTTGATGAAGAAGCCTTCGATCATTAGTTTTCATTTTTCCAAGGTCCAAAAAATGAGTTAAAAAGGAATGAAAGGATGCTGGGCTTAGTACTGTTCTCTTTAAGTATTCTTTCACCTTGCTCTCTGATTTTAGGTAGATTAAAGACAGAGTGTTGGATATAGATTCTGGAAGATTTAGACTTTCTTGATCAGAGTCCGAGGCCAGCACAATGGATCCCATTTGCTGAAAATCACCTATTTTGAGAGGATTTATGTGGTTTATTACAACCTTTGACAGAAGAAAGTAAAACTGACTGAAGTAGGATGATATTTTATGGTTTCCAAGATCTAATGAGAATACAACATGAAGATTTTTTAGAACATTTTTGCACATCTGCATAAACCTCAAATTAGATTTTTCATCTTCGGTTTTTTTTCTTTTTTCTATGGCAGAGATCTCCTGGTTGCCAAACAAAGTTGAATCAATGCCAAAACTCAGCATTGTTGACAATGTTCTTAAGAACAGTGAACAATCAATTTCTCCGATAGCTACATAAAGCAGAGTAGAAGTATCTTCTATCCCTGCTATTCTAATGATTGTTCGCAAAGCCTTTCTCCAGACTGACTGTTCAGTAACATCTTTTTCTCCAAGAATGACAATCTTCATCTTGTAAATATAAGCTGAAAGTCTTATCATTGACTGTCTACATCTTCCTGATTCTCCAGAAAGAATGATGTGTCCCTCAGGTTCAGAAATAACACGCAATATCTTGACAATATTTTGTACAATATAATCGTTGAAAATTAAATTGAGCTTGGGATTATCTTGGTCATATTCTGAAGCTTTCTTACTAAGATGATCCAAAAGCTCATCATCGTCAAGATCTGTGTAGAAACCATAAGTGTCCAGAATATTTCCAAACATAGGTGGCTCATTTGTTTCTTCATTTTCACAAATTGTATCAAAGTCAAGATTAAAAACTTTCTTTGTTTGAAGTCTAACAATATCTACAATTTCAGATTCATATTCCTCTGTTCTCATTCTATCTCTGAATGTCCGCAGAACTTCATTTACCCAAAGTTGCACAACTTCAAATTTTGTATCATGACAATCTTTGTCAGAACGAAGAACACCACAAATGACTTTTTTGATATCATGAAGATGAAAATTTGTAAAAATATCAGCTCTGTCTTTAAATAGTTCTTTTATATCATTGTATGTTCCTATGGTACCCTTGATGATGCTCAATGTCAAAAACTTGATATTCACCTCAAAGTCCATAAATTTTCCCTTCAGAATTGTCTGATACGTAGAAATGATATCATTTTCTGATTTTTCATCCAAATTAATAAATTGGAAAGATTTTCTAGTGCTTGTTACATATCTAGGTCTACTTGAATAATCCATAGTTTCTGTAGCCAATATGATGACATCAGATATCTGCAGAACTTCTCCATTAACTAACCAGCTTTTATTTTCCCAAAAAAATTTCAAAGCATCACCCAGTTCTGTTTCATCATCTAGTTTACTATCATCAAGATACAACAAAATCTTTTTTCCTCCAATTGGCTGAACTTCATTTTTGGATTTTTTTTGTGTGAACCTTATGATTGATTCAAAGATTAATTTCGGAGTGGTATTATGACAAACTTGAATAGGAATAATATGATATGTGCTTTTGTCAAAGTGTTTTAAAAACTCTCCTACTATAGATGACTTCCCAGATCCTTTAGGCCCAGTTAGAAGTACATTTTTTCCTTGTTGCAACAACAGGTTTAAGAAGTATTCACATTTAATGTACTGAACAGTTTGGATGTATATTGCTGAGTGTGGGATATCTGATGAGTAATTCCATTCCTTGATATTCTTTTTCCAGTGCTCCCAACCCAAATTCTCTTTGTCTATATAGAAATCAAATACAGTTCCATATACAGGAACATCAGAACCTTTTAATCGGATGTGATCATCAACCTTAACCTGATCTTCACTTGTTATTGTTGGAAAAACAGCCCATAAAGAACAAAACAAAGCCATTTTCTTAATACACTTTTCATTTGTCTTCCACCTAGTATCGGCATCAAAAATTATCTTCACAAGACCTTCAAAAAGACTGATGAAATTAGTTTCTATAGTGTACAAGTCACAATCAATCTGGGGAGTACAGTTGAGGGTAGAAAACTCTACAAACTCTTCAAGCAACATTTTGCTTTTTTGGACAAAAGTGTCAAAGTATGAATCTTTTTTCCACACTTTCATCAATTTGGTTTCTAACATTTCAAAACTATCCAAACAATTCTTTTCAATCATGACAATTGAAGCGTTGTGTATTCTACCGAGGTCTTCTTTTGATACATACTGAGTTTCCAATACTATCTTGACATTATCTCCAAGGCTTATTCTTGCATCACTGTCATAACAAATGGGAAAAGATTTCTTTGTCAGCTCATTAAGCAGAAGAGTAGTAGAATTCGACATAATGCCATCAAAATAGATAAGTTTAGATCCTCTTGAATTAATACTATTTAATCCTATCTCAGCAGAGAGAACTTCAGAGCTGTTTTCTGTTCCACCTACAAGATTCTCAACTACTTCTTGATGCAGGGACAATTTCAGAACATCTTTTTCAGCATACTCCAGAATTCTTGTAATTGCATTTATAATAAATGATTTCAAGGTGTTTGATTTACCAACAACCATTACACAATTTGAAGAATTTAGCTTTCTCCAAACCTCGTACATTTTTAACAAGAGCTCTTCTTTTTCAGGGAAATCACATTCCCTTAAAGTTTCAACTATTTTTAAAAGAACATGATCATCTTTCTGTTTTTCCATCATTTTTATTTCTAGCCTTGGAAACAGGTCCTTTACAGCTTTATGCATTGGGAATGCCAATTCATACCTTGAAGTTTTTTCAAAACATTGCCAGAAGGATTGAAGTATACTTTCCTCCTGGAGCATGTTTTTATCTTCTCTCATTAGACTTACAGCATTATTTAAAACTTGGAAAATAATACTTTTACAAATCTTGGATCCTGTGTCATAGTAGATTCCAGTGAATCCTCTCACTAGTATCATTGTTCGAGCACGTAGAAGCTCAAAGTTGTTAAATCCTTCCACAGCTAGCTTGGCATCCATCAGTCTAGGTAGGTTCTCTTCAGTGTAAGAAATTGCACGAAAACTTTTCCTAATATCTCCTGTTATGTTTACCTCTGTGAATTGTTTCATATGCAGAGTTAGGAATAAACTCAAATTTTCCAGTTCTTCGCATTTCAGTAAAACAACCTCATTTGACAATGCTGACATTTGCTGTTCACAGAAGTTCCACATCAGTATGTGGACCATATAATTTCCCTTTTTTAGTATCTTTATAAATTGTCCAACATGAGGTTTCTTGATGCTAGAATCCACTTGGCACTTAAACAAATACTTTCCAAGTATATTAGATAGTGCTTGAACAGCTGAAGACTTACCATCCCCAATGGTGCCATTGATGAAAGAGCATTTCCTGGCTTTTGCTATGCATGAGAAATCAAGGAAAATGTCATTGAATGATGGAAAATTTATAAGAGGGTCCTCCATTTTCAAACTTTCATATCCATACGTGTATGTTTGGTAGCCATGATTTATTACAATCTCATGTCTGGCCTTAGCATAGTAAAATTTGAAGAAAGCAAACCATTCTGGCAATGTTTGACAATTTTCAGTGTCATTGAAATACTGATAACGCTGCATTCGAACAATACAAATTTTGATGCTAAACTCTACATTGTTAATATTCAAAAGTTTCAGTTTTTGCTTTTGTGCAGTTGCAGACTGTTTCAATCTAGATATTTTCTCCATGTTTTCTTCCGTCCTTTTGGTAATCTCAACAAGTTTAGAGTTTTGTTCTTTCCCTGATGTAGATTCAAACAGTTTTGTTAATTCTGTTGTTATAAAAATCCTTCTTGCTACTTCATAGCTCTGAAAAGAGAAGTCACGCAGAATTTGCTCTAACTTGAAGTTCTTCTTCATTGCCTGAAGACAAGAGAGAATTTGTGTTTTTACATGGTTGGCTAAAAGTTCTCCAATTCCTGATGCTATATTCTCCATGGTTTCTTTTTCTCTAGCATTGCACTGATACTGGATAACTTCTCCGTCATTTGTTAGGATTTTCTGAACTAGAATACTGCCATCTCTTTTTGATGCTCCAACCACCTTGGAGACATTTGGATAGAGTTTCTGAATATATGGAGAAATATCTTCACATGATTTGCTAGCTAAAAACTTTAAAAGTTCTTCATCAGTAAGAATGAAAAGACGATGATACTGCTGCTTGCGGAATAAAAGAAAAGATCCTAATTGTTTTCTAATGTCATGGAGAGATGTTATCATATCATCCAGTCCTGCTGTCAGAGTCTTCTGCTCTGTAAATTTATATATTCGAGGATCAGTATGGATTTGTGATATAACATCTGTCCAGAACTCTAAGGTGTCGGATAAAATTCTGGTTTGCCTTGGAAGCTGTTTTTTCATGCAGAACACAGAGAATATCTCTTTAACTTCCAGTACTGTTTTCTCTGAGCACTCTAACTTTTCAAGAAGCATCAAAATGATAGAAATATCTTTACCAAGTTCCTCCACTAGAATAGAAAATGGTGCAATAAACCTAGAAAGTTTAAGTTCCCTCAAGTTTTCATGTGCATCTTTGTACAGTTGACACAATTCAGAAATATTTTTGATTATACAAAAATCTTGTTTATTAACATCAGTTATAATCTTGCTTTCTCTGACTAAGTTTGACAATTCCTGTAAAGCATCTTCAATCTCAATTTCTCTTTTTGCTGAATGCAAAACATCCTCTATGCTATTTATGCATTTGTCAAAGCCTAGGTTGGTTAAGTCTTGAATTCTCAGGCTTTCTTTTTCAATCTTTATTTCATCAGCATTTGGTTGAATATCTCTTATTATGATAAATATATCCTCCCAATGTCTGCTTCTGAGAGAATCTTTCACAAGGACAGTAATAAGATGCTTGATTTTTTCATAACTCTGAATTTGATTTTTAACTTGGAAAAAAATTTCCCATCTGTTATCAATATCAGTTTCATTGAACTGTTTGATCCTGTCATTCATCCCATCAATACTTTCCTTCATTCTCTCCAGATCTACATCAATAATCTTAGAAACCTGCCACTGCATGTGCACATCTTCCCATGCCTCAGCTAATTGCCAGAGAAGACTTAGCATTTTTAATTTCCCATCAAGCTCCACTAAATCCTGATTTACAGGTCTATGGAAGTTAAAAATTGCCAGACCATCAGATATTTCCTTGTCTGATGCCGAAAGCAGAACAATTTTTTCATTTAGAAAATCTAATTGTTTAAAAGCTTCAACTATTTTCCAGGAAACCCCGAAAGGACCGGATAATGTGTACTCTTCTACAATAGTTTTCACATGTCTTTCAAAATCATGAGATCTAGACATTAGTTCTTCTCTACTTTTCTCTCTGAAAGCTTGGAGATTTGAACCAGAATTGCTGACAAATGTGTTGAAATTGCTCCAAATTGCGTTCAATCCTTTAAGTCTTCTAGCATCTTCTGAATCAAGCTCCCTTTTATACTTTTTAATGACATCTGTAAGTTTCTTTATATGATCAAACTTTCTTTCTTCACAAGATATTTGTTGGTGGATTGCTGAGTGGTATCCCATTGATACTTTTAAGTCATAAACATTTTCAGGCATGCATTCTAAGCTTGCATTGGAACTCTGAATAAATGAATAAATTTCTTCAAGGTCATTGTGTACCATTTGACACATCATTTCAATAAAAATGTTCTGCCATTGTTCACATTGTTGTATTACTCCCTCCTGTAATGGAAAACAATCGACTAGGACAAATCCAATCCAAACTACTGCCTCATGTTTCTTGCAATTTTTTGCCAAATACTTATATTTTGCTACATCCGCATCAAATGCTCCAGTTTCTGGGCTGGTTTCCATGTACAGTTTCTTCAGTTTTTCTGGATCAAGCTCCCATGTGTCTTTGTATACATCCCAAGTTTTAATGTACTCCTCTATTTGACCTGTAGTGCTTCTAATGGCATCAAAAATGTTTTCTTGTACCTCCTGAAATTCTGGATTGTTTTCAACTACTTCAGTGATCATCCTTTGCCACGCACCATTATTTTGACCTATATTTCTTGCAACATTCACCAAAGTTGCTTGAGTGGACTTAAAGATATCCAGAATTGTGGATAATTTTGGACTGACATGGACTTGGGAGTCCTTGAGCTTAATTGTTATCTTCATCATTGGTGTTAGTCCTGTTTTCCCTGAACTTGATATAGCCTCAGCCAGGCCTAAGAGAGAGCTAAGTATTCCGTTTCTAATGGCTGTTGCAACTCGTTCATCAATCTTATGCTCATATTTTTTCCATTGAACCTCAACATTTGTCCCTGTTTTAGTAAAGCTTTCTTTTAGCTTTGAAACAGAGGCTTTAATCTGTTCATATTTGATAGATACTTCCTTCTGTATTTTGTTGATATGAGCCATCTGATGAGATTTAAATGACTCTCCACTAACTATACCTTTGGATGTGATGTCTATCATTTCCAGTTCTTCTATCTCTCTGCAAAGAGTTTGTACAGAACCATTGATGTTTTTGTAATTTACAATAGCATCAAAGGTGTTGTTCATGCTTTCATTAACAGCTATCAACCATTCTTTTAGATCAGGATTATCCCAAGTGTGTTGGTTCTTTCCCATCCATATAAAGCGATCAACTCTTCTTATTCTCTCCATAAACAACCCCTTTTCATCTGCTGAAAGTGATGTCATTATCTGGTTGTAATCCTTCACTACTTTTGTTATTGTCTTTAGAAAACACATGGTTGGACCAATCTTGTTGTAAATACCTTTAACATGACTAGGAATGCTAAAGTTATATGTTGTCCAGATTTCAACTTCCTTTACAAGCTTGATTAAGTTTCGATCAAAATTTATGTCCATAGTGCCCTGAGTGTGTAAGTTTGCATTTAAAAGATAACTTTCTAACTTTTTGGATGAGTTTTTATCCAAACTTTTATTCCATTGTTTATTAACCTCTGAAATTTGACGTGTTATAATCTCCATAACTCCTCTGTATTCCGCTTTACTCACATTCATGATCCCATAGACAGAAAACCAGCTGGCACTTTGTAATATGTTAATTGTTGAATTGATCTTTGTCTGGAGATTGTTTAGCCAAATATTCTTTCCTGAAAACCTTGGCTGATCAAGAATCCCTAATTGTTTATTATTAGATAGTTTTCTTCTGACTTGCTGAAGCTGTGTATTAAATTTTCTATAGACACGTTCTATTTTTCCCTCATACACCTGTCGTATGCGCTGCCTAGGGGTATACTGGTAAAATACATCCAAGATTTCAACACCTTCTTTAACACTTGTAACGGTCTCAAAGGCATCATTGAGAACCTGTTCAACAAGATTCTCAGTCTCATTCACGCCAAGACGAAACTTCTGGTAATTATTATTCCAAGAGGAATCTGAGGGGTTTAGAATAGTGTGTCTTACTTGGTATAGAGACTGAAGACATTTATCATAAATCTTTTCAATATTCTCCAACCCCTTGCTCAAGGCAGAGTCACCATCACCTACATTTGGTACTGGAGCTTTCTCACCATCCAGCCATCTATAACATTTTTATTTACTAAACGGATTGTTGTTGTAATTTTAAGTGACCCTACTTTAAAAGAAAGGGCATGTCTGATTCACAAAGGAACCCTTTAAAATTTATCTTGTCAATAATAATGTTGAAGATATTGTCGTTTTCCAGCAAACAGTGTTTAATTCTGACAATCACCTCAATTTTTTTCTGTAAACTAAGAATCTCAGGTCAAATTCAATAGAGAAAGTTTATTCATTTTTGATCAGACAAAATTTTTAAGGGTAACATAATGAATCAGATACTGTATACCTGCACAGTCCCTTTAGAAGAAAATTGGGTTGTTTTTCCTTTTTTAAACCTATCATTTTTAAGCAATAGATCAAAGCAGGTTTATCTACATATCTTAGTTCTAATAGTTTAATGTTATATTATTAGTCGTTAAAGCATCTATTTCTACATGTTAAAGTATCAAACTATCTAGGTCGTTTTCTTGGATTTGTTTTATGTAAGATTGGAATAAACAGAAACTGTTCTTGGCTGACATTAGAACTTTATTGATTGCAAAAAGAATTTTTTCTAACATTTCAAAAATCTTGAACACTGCATATGTATGTAGTGTTGACTGTATATTTCTGGCGGACCTTTATTACAACTTAAGTAGACATATTTGGTGTGATTAAAGGTACTATTAAAGTATATAGACATATTTGGTGTGATCAAAGGGACTATTCAATTATATAGACATATTTGGTGTGATTAAAGGGATTATTAAAGTATATAGGCATATTTGGTGTGATTAAAGGGACTATTAAAGTATATTGACATATTTAGTGTGATTAAAGGGACTATTAACGTATATAGACATATTTGGTGTGATTAAAGGGACTATAAAAGTATACAGACATATTTGCTGTGATTAAAGGGACTATTAAAGTATATAGACATATTTGGTGTGATTAAAGGGACTATTAAAGTATATGGACATATTTAGTGTGATTAAAGGGACTATTAAAGTATATAGACATATTTGGTGTGATTAAAGGACTATTCAAGTATATAGACATATTTGGTGTGATTAAAGGGACTATTAAAGTATACAGACATATTTGCTGTGATTAAAGGGACTATTAAAGTATATTGACATATTTGGTGTGATTAAAGGGACTATTAAAGGGACTGTAAAGGAAAAATGAAAGTGGTATAGGCTGAAAGCTAATCACTTTAGCTCTTGATCGCGACTCATGAAAGTCATATCTGATGTTCCTGTCTCGAGAAATTGATATAAAACTGTGTCAAATCTATACGAAAATTAATATATATACAATTTTGTATAAAAGTAGTGGGTTTTAACAGATCATATTCAGCAAATAAGCAACCAATCTGAAAACGATGATATCCCAGAGAAAGCTAATTGTAATTTAGGTTTACTTTTATATTTGTTGTTTCTATTTTCAACAGATTTCATTCATAATATTATTTTTACGTCCGTAATACTTGACCAGAAATTCCACCAATGGCAGTGCAGTAAAGTGGTCACGTGATACAGGCGGAGACACGTGACCAGTATACTGCTCTGCCATTGGTGATAGTTCTGGTCACTTGATTTAAGTTTCAGATTTTCAAAATTTTACATATATATAAATTTTCGTATAATTTTAACACAGTTTTGTATCAGTTTCTCGAGACAGGAACATCAGATAAAACTTTTATGGGTCGCGATCAAGAGCTAAATTGATTAGCTTTCAGCCTATACCCCCTTCATTTTTCCTTTACTGTCCCTTTAAAGTATATAGACATATTTGCTGTGATTAAAGGGACCATTAAAGTATATTGACATATTTGGTGTGATTTAAGGGACTATTAAAGTATACAGACATATTTGCTGTGATTAAAGGGACTATTAAAGTATATAGACATATTTGGTGTGAATAAAGGGACTATTCAAGTATATAGACAAATTTAATGTGATTAAGGGGACTGTTAACGCAATTAAAAGTTTCCCTCTTTTGATATTGTGGCAAGTCCGATTCACATTGGTACTCGTAACAACTTTGTTTCAGCAAGAACTCCAGGTTTTTTGTTTTGAAAACTGATTATTTTCATGTGTGATTTTTCTACAACAGTGACTCAAGCATTTTTTCAACCTAGAAAAACGATGTTATCTTCCACTTTGCTGATCAGATTTAAGTTATAAGGGCACCTTTGTGAATTGAGCATGTCTCTCTTTAAATTAAGGATCCCCTAAACATCATAAAACCCGATTTTATAATGAAAGAAAAAATTCTTACTTTTGTCAAGGATTTAATGCAAGGAAAGTTATTTCAGAGGTGTACGCATCTTTTGTACTGCAGTTTACTGTCTATGGGCGGTAATGTAAATACAAGACGGATGTCGAAGCCTGACATGGGATCCATCTTTCACATGAAATAATCAATGAAATACTCTGGTCATAGAAAACTATTATGTGAATTATCAAAATTATCAAGATTAAATGCTTTTAACCTCCTCGGATACTAAACGAACACTGATGTATCTATTCTTGTTTACAAATTCCGCCCAGAGAGAACTGGTTTCAATATGTACGCAGAGTATACACAACTGCAATTAACTTTCCTTGCATTACATTCTTGACTTTTGTGAGTTTCTATAAAAAGTAAAGCAATTCTTTCGTAGTCTCCTGTATTTTCATTTAAGCTAAATCATCTTTTTAGTCTTACCTTGTACTATAGGGGGGTAGAAAATATAACATATTAATAGATTGGATTAAATTAGATATATCTTAAAACATTTATAAAACATGTAAAGGAATAGCTCTAAATATCACATTGCGCAAATCTTGGTGAAAACTTTAAATAAGATTTGGGATTTAAAAAGTTCAAAATATTCTGTTAGGATTTTGCATTCCTTTGAATAGTTTAATTGTATTTGAATTCTTCTTTGTTAGATGCAAATTTATAAACTACAATCTTTAATCTGAGAGAAAATAGTCCAGTTTTTAAGAAGGGGTACGTTTGAGCTATAGTTCCATTTCTAGGGGTACGTTTGAGCTATAGTTCCATTGAGCTATAGTTCCATTCCTTGGGGTACGTTTGAGCTATAGTTCCATTTCTAGGGGTATGTTTGAGCTATAGTTCCATTCCTTGGGGTATGTTTGAGCTATAGTTCCATTTCTAGGGGTATGTTTGAGCTATATTTCCATTCCTTGGGTACGTTTGAGCTATAGTTCCATTTCTAGGGGTATGTTTGAGCTATAGTTCCATTTATAGAGGTATGTTTGAGCTATAGTTCCATTTCTAGGGGTATGTTTGAGCTATAGTTCCATTTCTATCTGATATTTTAGTGAAGATAATTGGACTAAAACGTAAACGTTGTCCTCAACACTGAAAGGGAGAGACCAGCAATATATGGTGGTTGAACTAAATATGTTGTATTGTGGACAAATTTTTTCGGATTCATTCGACGTTTCAACGACGCATATTTACTGAGTTTGAGCGCAAAGTCGACGTTCAAAATATGAATTTGGGTGGGTGCGTTTTTAGAATCGTTTTTTTTAAATTATTAAATAACAACGACAAAAAATGTTAACAATATTCTACAGTAAACTAATTAGTTGTTTATGAGCAGGTTTAGAGAAAAAAATAACTCTTATCATCGAAAATAAGAAATCTTATTCAATTATTAGTTTCTAAAATCCCTCATTAGTCATTATTCAAAGATTTTCTGGAATTTTTATTAAAAAGACGACATCTGAAGAATTTGTAGAAATCTGTGAACAAATTCATAGAAAATAAGAAATTCAATGAAATAATGAAAACGAAATAACTGATTCTGACATTGATTTATTGACAAATTTCTTAGGAGAAATATGTTCCTAAACATCTAATTAGTTACTGTATAATTTTTACTTTATTTTTTGTCGTCGTTTTCTAATGTTTAAAAAAACCGATTCTGAAACCAACCAACCAAATTCATGATTTTGAAGGTCGACTTTGGACTCAAACTCAGTAATTATACATCGTGGAAACGTTTTATAAAATAAATCCAAAAAGATTTTCTACAAGACTCAGTTCAACCACCATACATTGCCGGTCACTCCCTTTAAAAATTCCCTCATGTGGTGCATCCTGGAAGTGTAAACCATCTTTAGAAATTGTAAATTTTATCAAAACTTATAATGATGTAGGACAATTTTTCTTTTTAAGAAACATGGGAATATAATTACTTGTACAGTAAAAATCATAATTGAAGTAAAACAAAGTTTATTGAATGTAAACAACTCTTAATTAAATACTTTTCTTCTCAGTTTAAGGAACTGAACACTTGCCACAATATCTTCATCCTCATATCTTTGGCACATTATGGTGAAAACCTTTAATTTTTCAAACTTTGACTACTCAATCTAGCAGAATTCAGTTTTTGAACTGTTAAAGGTCGATGAAATTGAATTGAAAAGGTTTAGGAATTAGAATTATAGAATTTGTGCAAATAATCAGTTTCTTTGCGCGGATTAAAAATGTTTTATTTGATTTACTGTCTTTAAGTAGTACAGTGAATGAATCATATATTATACATCGAAAAAAATCGATTTTTTTATTCACGGGCAATGCCGGGCACTTAAGCTAGAATATATTTGTATTTTACCCTGTTTATTACTCAAAATAAACTACACTGAGACCAGTAAAACTAGGACAGGGAGATGACTGTTTGACTTTTTTCACTTAAAGAGTTGATTTTTAAGCTTCTACAGTAAAACTTTTTGCTTTATGACAACATCAAATACACAGAAGATGTTGACAATCTATTCCACAGTTTCATGGCTCTCACTGTATATATTTGGGTTTACTATGTTTTTGTCCATCTAGCTGTCTATGTATCCAGATATAGAATCCCCATATAACTTGTATCCATGTAGTTTAAACCTATATTCCTGGACTGTATCTAAGAGTACTGTATTCTCAATATTCTGTATCCCTGTATCCTTATCATCCTGTCTCTCTCTATTCCGGAATTCATGCAGCCCTGTATCCCTGTATACCCTGTATACCCTGTATCCCTGTATCTCTGTATCTCTGTATCCCTGTATCCCTGTATCCCTGTATCCCTGTATCCCTGTATCCCTGTATCCCTGTATCCCTGTATCCCTGTATCCCTGTATCCCTGTATCTGTATCCCTGTATCCTTGTATCGCTGTATCCCCTGTATCCCTGTATCCCTGTATCCCCTGTATCCCTTTATCCCTGTATCCCTGTATCCCTGTATACCTGTATCCCTGTATTCTGGTATACCTGGCGAACTGTGCTTGACAGTCTGCTATATCCAGTAGATCTCTGCATCTCTGCATGAATGCGTCTATCTGTGTAAATATTCCCGTTTCATCTTCCAGGGGTTGAATAGCTTGCTCCTTTTAAATAACTTTAAATTAGTTTATTGTCATTGTCATTACCATTCATAATCATTGGTATCTTAGATATTATTTTAATCATGGTTGTCATTTCAATCGTCATTTTCAGAGTTCATTGTCATCTTAAATTTCGTTTTGGTCATGGCGTTGATCATATTCATAATCATTGATATTCTAATTGTCAGTGTCGGCGCCATTGCGATCTTTATCACTTTTATCATAATGGTTTTACTATCCTTAGTTTTAATTATCATCACGGTCATTATATTCAGTCTCTTCATCATCATTATAATCATTTTTATCTTCATTGTCATCGTCATCATATTCAATATCTTCATTATTATTGTCATCCTCATCATCATTACCTACAACATCATTAAGGTAATCATCATCATCATCTTCATCATAATCACTATCATTATCATCATCATCAATATCATTATCTTTATCATCATCATTATCATCTTTTTCATCATTATCTTCGTCGTCATTATATTCATAATAATTATCTTCGACATTATCTTCATCATAATTATCATCTTCATCATCATTAAAATATTTATCATCATTATTATCTTCGTTATCATTATATTCATAATATTTATCATTTTTTATCTTCATTATCATCATCATTACATTCAATATCTTCATTATCATTATCATCCTCACAATCATTACCTTCAACATCATTAAGATAATCATCATTATCATCTTTGTCATCATTACCTTCATCATCATCACTATCATTATCATCATCATCAATATCATTATCTTTATCATCATCATTATCATCTTCATCATCATTATATTAACTTCATCATCTTCATCATCTTCATCATCTTCATCATCATTTCTATCATAATTATCACTCATCTTAATCAGCATCATTATCATCTTTATCATATTTCATGATGGTTATTTGTCCTGATTATATTTACCTTGATTAAACACTCAGATACCTCTTTGTATCCTTCCTTCCACTCCAGACAGCAACTAGCAGATTAATCATTAATCATATCATCCTTTCATTATGTAATAAATACCATATATGCATTATATTGCATAAATACCATTTATTCAATATTGCATAAATACCATTAATGCAATCAATATCATTTATGCAATCAATACTATTTATGTAATAAATACCATTTATGCAATCAATGCCATTTGTGCAATAAATACCTTTTATGTAATAAATGCCATTTAGGCAATAAATACCATATATGCATTATTGCATAAGTACCATTTATTCAATATTGCATAAATACCATTTATGCAATCAATATCATTTATGCAATCAACACTATTTATGTAATAAATACCATTCATGCAATCAATACCATTTTTGATATAAATACCATTTATGCATTAATACCATTTATGCAATAAATACCATTTATGCAATAAATACCATTTATGCAATAAATACCATTTATGCAATAAATACCATTTATGCAATAAATACCATTTATGCAATAAATACCATTTATGCAATAAATACCATTTATGCAATAAATATAAATTATGCAATAAATAACATTTATGCTATAAATACCATTTATGCAATAAATACCATTTATGCATTATTGCACAAATACCATTCATGCAATAAATACCATTTATGCAATAAATACCATTTTTGCAATAAATACCATTTATGTTATAAATACCATTTATGCAATAAATACCAATAATGCAATAAATACATTTACAGCAAAATAAATATTAGGGAAACGAGGGGTGAGGGAAAGCTGTTCTGGACTTTATGTCATGCAATAATTTGTATTATTGATTAAAAAATTGATTAAACATTACTTTAATACATTATATAAATATAGCAAGCTCAATTCAATGGTATTAATCAAAACAATCAAATAATATAATAACAAATTAAACAATATGAAAAAAAATTAAAAAATATAATCAAAATTACTTTAAAAAAAGAGAAAAAAGCTATAACAAAGTAACCCTTATTTTTCTACCATCATTACTGTAAAACTGATGAGAACGCCTAATTTCATGATATTATTTAAAATTAAGATTTTTGTCGATTTCTCTTCACAGAAAAACCACGGAGAAATTAAAATGGTAGAAAATTTAATTCGAATTAATTCTAAACCCTCTTTTTCCCATGATCACTCCCTTTAAGATTGCATTTACTTGATTGACTCTTGAATATTCTGTTTTGTTGAGATGATGAAGCCAGAGAAAACCCTCTCCACGTCAATATGTAGTTCACATTTTCTCATCAGTTCCTTTCCAATCTTCTGCATTAGTCTAACTATCATCAACCTAAACATATTGTTCACATTTTCTCATCAGTTCCTTTCCAATCTTCTGCATTAGTCTAACTATCATCAAACTAAACATATTGTTCACATTTTCTCATCAGTTCCTTTCCAATCTCCTGCATTAGTCTGACTATCATCAACCTAAACATATTGTTCTGCGACATGGTGCTTGATCTCTTGACAACTTCAAAAGACATTCAGTCTTTTCCAAAAATCTCTTATTTTTAGACCCTACATCTTTGCAACCCACTGTCGGACACCTTAGATATTTCAAACTATTAATTTTGTAATATAAAAAGTTTGAATATCAAAGGTTAACAACATCAGGCTGCAAAAATATGGGGATTAGAAAATTTGAGTTTGTTGCAAAGGCTCAATTTTTCAAATAGATAATTGTTTGTTCATCTCCGTTTTATTTATCCCGGGAGGGTATGATCACAACAGGATATCCAAGAGGGATTAAATTAAGCGCAAGTTATGACCTCAGAGCTGCGAACCTTTGTGTTGTATACTCAAAATTCCGATCGCTTGATCTCGATATCCACTGCGTGCACTTTTATAAGAAACTATAACTTTCCATATCTTCCTTTTAGTTAGTCCATATTCATCCCCTGGTTAAAGCTCCCTTGACCCCTGACTGGGTACAATTGCAATGCGGGATATCGAATAAAGATTATATTAATCTGCAGATTAACAAAGATCGAGATCAAGCATTGGTCTAGATATCCAAAATACAAAAGTTCCCAGCTCTGAATAAATCAAAAACTACAAATTGTATAAAACCTGATACAAGTTTAAAAGTTGTATTTTTTACAACTATAAGGTGTTGTACATTTTTCTACAACTTTCAAGCAATATAACTAATTACTCGTGTCAATCTAATCATCATATCTTTGCAAGCTGATGTCGGAATCTATATATATACTTTGCTTGTCTGTCTGTCTGTCTGTTTGTTTGCATCTAATAAACGTCAAAATTTGTGTTTAAAAGTTTTTTTTATTTTTAAAATTTTTAGAAAACTAGGCTTTTAGGGCGCTACGCGAATATCTTCTATTTCAATTGTGAACATGTTCTCTTTGTTTACAATGTAAAACAAAACAAAACAAAAAACAAAAAATTTCACGAACTTTATGAAAAGAGTTTCGTGGATTTTCAAAATATTCAAAATCGAATTTTGTTGGAAGCTAATTTTTGAAAATTCGATCATCCATAAACTTTCCCTTGGATCACACGAGGTCCTAAACAAATTTGAGCCGGATCGATTCAGCTGTTTTGACGTTTATTAGATACAAACAAACAGAAAGACAGACAAGAAAAGTATACACGAAAAAATATTTTGAAATCCGCAAACTTTTTTTGTTTGTTTTTGTTTCATACTGTACAAAATGAAGATGCTCACTGATAAAGCCACAATTTAAGGTTGAAGTAGAAGAAAAGCCTATATATCTTAAAATTTTAGTTTTTAATAAAAAAACTTACGGAGTGTTATAGTATGGTGCGTTCTCCTTGAGTATGAATATATACATATATATTTTAGAAAATAATTCTGTTGTCTCCCCCATCCGCACTCTCTCCAGGCTTCTTATGGAACTCGCTAATCCTCCAAGGAAATTCTAAAAAATATATTTTTTAACGAAACAAGTTTTAAACATATTGGTCATCAAAAAGTGGAAAAATACCAAAACACACTGTCTTTTAATTATTTCAGATTTATTTTTGCTGATCTTTCTACAAGCTTTTCTTCTTTGTACATTTCAATATAATGACAGTTGAAAATTTTGCGGATTTTCTTTTTTTCCCTACATATTCACACATTCAGAATTCAGATATAGAAACTGGTTAAAAGCAGTTTTTTCAATATTAAGAACGCACACACCTTTCCAGGGGTCATGATAGTTACCACTGACAAAATTTGGTCAAAATTGGTTTGATGGTTTTGGCGTTTTTTTGGATGCAAAGGATGGACAAGCCGAAATGCAATATATGTATATATAAGTTACCTTATTTGACACTGACTGACTGTGTAGTGCACTTATCTTCATTATATACTGACGAATAATATTTACTTCTGGAACCATCTTGGAGTCAAACCTGGAATATTCAAGAAATATTTGTTTATCCGTATTCAGTTTCATTATTATCAAAATTGATCAGGACCATGATTGATCAGGATCATTTTTGATCAGAACATAGACAAGTCATAATCAAGATTGAGCAGTGTCAAGATAGGTTCACCCTACCATATGATTATAAATGCTTTGCAGACTGGTACTCCATTTGTATAAGAAATATTCAGAAAAGGTTATTTGTATACGCGGTAATTGTACATCAGACAAATATTTCTTATACAAATGAAGTACCGTCTGCAAAGCATGTATAATCATATGGTAGGGCGGGCCGCATCAGTTGTATCTATTCTATAATCCTTGGTCTGTATATATATCAAGGTACCGGGTGAGAGCTCTGGTAATCCTGGGAGAAGTAACCTGCTCCTTGATCCGACCCAACCTCTCAGCTTCATGATTCCAAATCTCGATTTCCTAGAAGAGAACACGTGAAGATATATATTACTTGTTGATGATACCTTGAGCATAATAAAACCAAGGAATTGTGTATCTAGGATTCCATGAGTATATGAGAACCTAGTATCTGTTTATCTAGGATATACCTTGAGTATATATGAACCTAGTATCTGTGTATCTAGGATATACATTGAGTATATTAGAACCTAGTATCTGTGTATCTAGGATATACCTTGAGTAAAGGAGAAACTTGTATCTGTCTATCTAGGATATACCTTGAGTATATTAGAACCTAGTATCTGTGTATCTAGGATATACCTTGAGTAAAGGAGACCCTAGTATCTGTGTATCTAGGATATACCTTGAGTAAAGGAGAACCTAGTATTCGTGTATCTAGAATATACCTTGAGTATATTAGAACCTAGTATCTGTGTATCTAGGATATACCTTGAGTAAAGGAGAACCTAGTATCTGTCTATCTAGGATATACCTTGAGTATATTAGAACCTAGTATCTGTGTATCTAGGATATACCTTGAGTAAAGGAGCACCTAGTATCTGTGTATCTAGGATATACCTTGAGTAAAGGAGAACCTAGTATCTGTGTATCTAGGATATACCTTGAGTATATTAGAACCTAGTATCTGTGTATCTAGGATATACCTTAAGAGTATAGGAGCAGAACCTAGTATCTGTGTATCTAGGATATACCTTGAGTATATTAGAACCTAGTATCTGTGTATCTAGGATATACCTTAAGAGTATAGGAGCACCTAGTATCTGTGTATCTAGGATATACCTTGAGTATAGGAGCACCTAGTATCTGTGTATCTAGGATACTATTTACACCCTCCACCTCTGTAGTTATTGCATTCACCCAAATTGGTAAAATTCCTAAAATATTTGTTTATATAATATTGATATATTCAATTAATATTTATTTAAACATTTTAATAAGCAAAACTAATTATATTTATAATTTTTGTAAAAAAGCTTTAATAATATTTACATGTGAAGCGACAGGAACAATATTAGTCAATAAAGATGGCAATTTAAAGACCTAGCATGGTTTGATATGCATTTGTATATATTTATATGCATTTATTCGTTAACAAAAATTATGTTACTACCCTTCAAAACAGTAAACAGACCTTCATCATAAAAAAAAATATTTTTATAAGAAGTTTTTATTACCAATAATATCCAACCAAATCACTTCAAAGGATTTGAGTCTTTGCCACAAACTCTGATTTTCTAATCCATATATCTTTTTAATCCAATGTCATAGACCTTAGATATTTCAAACTATGAATTATGTTAAATCAAATAATCTAAGTTTGAAATATCAAAGGGTTACACCTTCCGGTCGCAGAGATAAAGGGATTAGAAAATTTGAGTTTGTGGCAAAAACTCAAATCCTTTGTTCAAAAGTTTACTTTGTCGATATTTATTTGTCATGTTTAGTGATACCAAGGTTGTTATTTAACACTTTAAAGGTTTGGGGTTCAGAATCTATGTATAGCCTGGGGGGGGCGTTCGGCGCCCCCCCCCTAGAAAAAAGACCTTAGAGAATAGGCATAGGGTTTAAATGCATGTTCATAGCCAAATTTTTCATGGCTAATGTTTAATGTTTAAAGCTCACACAGCTAATTTAACGGATTTAATTTTTTATCTCGAGCATCAAAAAATAAATACGAAAAAATAATAAGGTTTTTTTGATTTTATAATAATTTAACTTTTGGTCATATTCATGCATATATTTATATTTAGATAACATTCTATGCTACTTACCATATATCCAATTCAATATTTCATCTGCATTGAAGAATTAATAATTTCACGTATTTTTGAGAAAATGGTAAAAAATTTAAATAAAACAAACTGTAGAAAAATATACAATACGTGATTTTTTAAAGATTCTGATGTTAAAAACAGTTTTAAATTTTTTTTCTTAAACACAGTGCATTATGAAGTTGGCTTTTATTTCCAAGTTATTGCATCAAAAATGATCATTATTTTGTAAATATCGAATATTTGGTAGTTGAACCAGTTCTCCTATGCTTACAGTTCAATTTAGCTTTGGTTTATTCAGATACCTACCTCATTTATTAATTTCCAGCTCAGGACCAAATTTTAAAAGTTTTTACTATGTTAAATTCACTAAAGTTTAACTAAGAAAAACCTTCCATAACGGATTCTTAAAATATTGACAAGCATATAGATCGTTCAAAGTAAACTAGTATTTACAATCTTGTGGTTGCTTGTTTTTCTCAAATAAAATGGAGGAAGAAACTTTAGATAGAAATAAGCATAGTACCTTCATTACAAATCTGTGAACATTTTGAGTTTTAAAGAGTGATGTAAACGATTCACAACGTTAGTCGATAAGCAAATTCTAAGATGCCTAATTTTTTTCTGAAATAGAAACGACTTGTGGAATTCTACAGCAATTTCGGAATAAAAAAGTTTCCCTAACCAGACGAAAATTTTGCCATCGTCTGATATATTTATTAAATGATATTTTAGAACTTTAGATCGTGTATGGCACTCTTTGATTGATAAACCACTATACAAAACACTAATAACCTTTGAAGACATCTGTGTACTGTCGCTACTGCGACAATGAAATTATAATGATAATTCTATAATAAAAAGAAATAATTGTGCGTCAGTTTGAATTGAATAAATTGAATTGATATGATTTGATTCGATCTGATTTGATTTTTTTCTATTTGATTCGATTTGCGATGATTTGACTTCTACCTTGAACAATAATATCCGTGTTAACGTCTTGAAGGACGCAGATAGTATTCTCCAGGTACTCCTCCTCCAGGGGGTTCTCCAGGCTCAGATCGACCTTCTCCAGGGAGGCCAGGAACTGGGTCAACTAGACACAAGCTTATCATTACTATTCGTCCTATATCCTAATAGTTCTAAAGTTTGAACTATCAATTGGGTTCCAAAGACGTAGGGATTTGAAAATCCGATTTTTTGCAAGTATTCGAACACATTACCCTTTCGCATCGTGAAAAAGGAAATTGATGGATAAATTCCAGTTTGACATCTCAGAGATCATATTTTCATGGGTTGTTTAATAATGTCACTTTCAAGAGAGCAGTTCTTATATTTTTTGTCAGATCATCTCAAGGTTTCATTTCATAACCTTTTGCATTTCAAAACTAGCAAGGTACTCTCGGACTAAGCGTTTTACGTGGGGGGGGGGGGGAGGGCGACAGAAAAGGCCCGCATAAGTGCCCCTCTCTGTTAGAGAGGGACACGTTCGGTTTACTTTTAACTCGTTCGTTCATTGTTCGTTAAGGACCCATTTCGTTCGTGTTTTTTCAAATCATTCAGTAGTTTGAATTAATTCGTTATTCCTTCTATTTCGTTCGTTTACTAACGGAATAATTTAGTTAAAAAGCGAACGATCGTTTAGGATGTTAAATTATTTTGTTATTTCTCGTTCGTAAAGTTTTTTTTTCTGAGCGATCCATTCGTTCTGAAACATTTGGTTCGTTATCGAAAACGATGCCCATCTCTTAAATCACTGTACAGTAGAATGCCCATCTCTTAACTCTCTGTACAGTAGAATGCCCATCTCTAAACTCTCTGTACAGTAGAATGTCCATCTCTAAACTCTCTGTACAGTAGAATGCCCATCTCTAATCTCTCTGTACAGTAGAATGCCCATCTCTAATCTTTGTACAGTAGAATGCCCATCTATTAACTCTCTGTACAGTAGAATGCCCATCTCTAATCTCTCTGTACAGAAGAATACCCATCTCTTATCTCTCTGTACAGTAGAATACCCATCTCTAAACTCTCTGTACAGTAGAATGCCCATCTATAATCTCTCTGTACAGTAGAATGCCCATCTCTAATCTCTCTGTACAGTAGAATGCCCGTCTATTATCTCTCTGTACAGTAGAATGCCCATCTCTAATCTCTCTGTACAATAGAATGCCCATCTCTAAACTCTCTGTACAGTAGAATGCCCATCTCTAATCTCTCTGTACAGTAGAATGCCCATCTCTGATCTCTTTGTACAGTAGAATTCCCATCTCTAAACTCTCTGTACAGTAGAATGCCCATCTCTGATCTCTCTGTACAGTAGAATTCCCATCTCTAATCTCTCTGTACAATTGAATGCCCATCTCTAATCTCTGTGTACAGTAGAATGCCCATCTCAAATCTCTCTGTACAATAGAATGCCCATCTCTAAACTCTCTGTACAGTAGAATGCCCATCTCTAATCTCTCTGTACAATAGAATGCCCATCTCTAAACTCTCTGTACAAAAAAATGCCCATCTCTAAACTCTCTGTACAGTAGAATGCCCATCTCTAAACTCTCTGTACAATAGAATGCCCATCTCTAAACTCTCTGTACAGTAGAATGCTCATCTCTTATCTCTCTGTACAGTAGTATGTCCATCTATAAACTCTCTGTACAGTAGAATTCCCATCTCTAATCTCTCTGTACAGTAGAATGTCCATCTCTAAACTCTCTTTACAATAGAATGCACAACGCTATACTCTCTGTACAATAGAATGCCCATCTCTAATCTCTCTGTACAGTAGAATGCCCATCTCTAAACTCTCTGTACAGTAGAATGCCCATCTCTAATCTCTCTGTACAGTACAATGTCCATCTCTAAACTCTTTGTACAGTAGAAGGCCCATCTCTAATCTCTCTACAGTAGAATTCCCATCTCTAAAATCTCTGTACAATAGAATGCCCATCTCTAAACTCTCTGTATAGTAGAATGCCCATCTCTAAACTCTCTGTACAATAGAATGCCCATCTCTTAACTCTCTTTACAGTAGAATGCCCATCTCTAATCTCTCTGTACAGTAGAAGGCCTATCTCTAATCTCTCTGTAAAGTAGAATGTCCATCTCTAATCTCTCTGTACAGTAAAATGCCCATCTCTTAACTCTCTGTACAGTAGAATGCCCATCTCTAAACACTCTGTACAGTAGAATGCCCATTTCTAAACTCTCTGTACAGT